ACTACTCAGATATTTGAGAGGGATTGCGGATTATGCACTCACATATGGAGGGGGGTCGGACATCGTCATACAAGGGTACTCAGATGCGGACTATCAAGGAGACCTGATGATGCCAAGTCGACATCTGCGTATGTCTTCATGCTGGCTGGCAGGCAGTTTCTTGGATGTCTAAGAAACAAGATGTGGTGGCACTAGTGTTCGTAAAATCGAACCGGAGCGGTTAACCAAACATCGGCCTGGAAGCAGTCTAACTGGCCTAACCGGTAAACCAGCCGATTCATCAACTCTAACTGCGCAAGTCTCGGGCCGTCAAAAAAGTGTTGAAAAAAATAAAAAGACAAAAAAAAAATCTACTAAAATATGAAAAGCATATAAAGAATGGTTAAAACAAAACACATTCAAATAAAGTTGGAAAATATAAAACGAGTTAAAATCCATTTTTTTCGCTAATTTTCAAGGGCTATTTTTAAAATTTTCTAAAAAAGATGGGAAAATATAAAAGTGAGTATTAATGACCAAAACAAATTTTAATCTTTACCATAATGTAAAGAATATTTAAAAATGTATTACAAATCAAATTCCTTATTTTTGAGAATTTATATTTTTTTGAATTTTTTTTAAAAATACTTGTTGATCACCAAAACCGGAACCGGTCAGTGGCCGATTTCTATCTAATCGAGAGGTTAGTAGTTAGATTGGCCGGTTTTGCGAATACTGGGTGACACTATCCACCATAGAATCCGAGTACGTGGCGTGTTGTCAAGCAATCATGGATGCTGCATGGATAAAGAAGTTTCTCGATCAGCTTATGCTTTGAGCCTGTGAGATGCCCATGTGTGAGAATCTTTTGTGACAACCAATCAGCAATATGTGTATCTAAAGAGCCACATTCCCACAAGAAGGCCAAGCACATCAAGCCGGCATATTATTACTTTTGGAACAAGGTCCAACTTGGAGAGGTAGAGATTGCATATCTCCCCACAGGGGCAAAGATCATGGACCCTTTAACTAAGGGCTTAGTGGTGAATGTATTCGCCAAACATGTACATGGGATAGGGCTGAGAGAAAGTGAGGAAGAGATATCGTATGGCCTTCAAAGGTCAAGTGGGAGATATTGGGTTTTTGTGGCCATTTAAAAGCCTTATGAGAGCATGTACTAAAAATATATAATGAATTATTGACTCCAGTGGGAGTATGGTCCAGCTTAGACTGTATGGCATTCACAATGCCTTAGACTCACATGAGTGTTGAGTGGTTATGACTCAATGTGAAGTCCAAAACCCGTAGTCCTGTGCATCATGTAGGCACAACCGATAAGGGTTTCGATGTGGGGTTATCTCTAGATGAGATTAGATATGTGCCCAGGACAGTTGGCCAGAGGATATGGATTTGACCTCTGTGTGTGATGGATGGCCTGAGAGGACAAGGGCCTAAATCCTCATTAATTACCATCACACGACATGTATACTAGATAGTTGTCCAGGAAGCAACTATTTGGATAAGGGTGTGTGACGTGTACATGAGCAGAAGATATGACTCCCCGCAACAATAGATTGTGTTGGAAGGACCCAATGAGCATACTGTTGAAATGGGCTCTAGACTTGTCCTCAGGGAGGGACCTGTAATCTATGGTCTAGGATCGTATCTTCTCCACTTATTGGCTGATTTACGATGGGTTGTGGGTCATAGGATCAGTTGGTCAGTTTGAGAAGGTGTAGTGAGATGCGGTCTTTAGAGAAGATGGAGTCCTTGATATATTTGGCGTAATCTTAACTCTATGAATCCAATTCCCATCAAATATTCTTTAATTTGTTTTAAATAAGTCCTAACTATTTTATAGATAATTAACATGATCTTTTAAACTTCTTTAGGTATTTTATTTTATTGAAAAATGATTTTTATATGAGGAAAAATCAATTTTCTAGATTTATTTTAATCAAAGAGAAACATAACATATTTGAAGATTATGTAAAATTTGTTTTAATATTTAAAAATTAATATTAATATTTTGGAGGCCCATTGGGGTTCAATGGGCCCACCAATGTATGGGGCGTGGGGCCCACATGGACACCACATGGGTAGTGCGCCCCACCCCATGCAAGCTTTCCTTATTGAGTCATGTGCCTTATAAGGCATGTGTTGTTTTTAAGTTTTGGAATGTTAACGTCTAGAGATTTGAATTGAAACCAAAAAGAAAAGTGTAAGATATCAAATAATATGTATTAAACGCTTTTTCTATACAAAATATTTGATGGAAATGGAGTTATGGAAACTGAGGGGTAAGGTTCCACATCATTCTTTTAATCATGATGGCAGATCTAAAGAATGAATGGTTGAGATCTCTTCACCCCATAGGTTTCCAAGATCAAAAGTCAAGATTAAACCTCATAATGATGCAAAACCCTAACCCTAGTATCCCTAGCTTCTTGTCTCTATATACTAGTTATGGGGGTTCTACTTCTCATCTCTCTATCGCTCTCTCTCCAAGCAACCAAAGGGGGCACGTCCCACTCTAGCCTTCTCTCTCTTTCTTTCTCTCATAAAAAAGTAGGGTTTAGGAAGGTTAATGGGTGGCACGCCTAAGCCACACAAGCCCTAGTCCTAGGTTCTTGCCTCATACTCAGGTGTTGAGCCTTGGTTAAAGAAATCCCATGTAATTTTCTCTAAGGGTTTTGCCTAGGCTTCCCTAATTGTGAAGTGTGTTCTTGAATCGAGATCCCGTATGCCATCGGTGGAGGATATCTGGATTAGGGTGTACGAAGTCCTTGGGGATAACCTGAGGCAAGGTACGAGCTGTTTCATGATTCCGTGCTTCTGTTGCTTCTTTTGCTTCTTATGTAATTTTCAGTTCTACATGATGAATGTAATTTTCTTTTAATGGCATGCAAGTAAGAGGTCTTTGTTATTTCGTTAAGTCAAAATTGTATTTTGGACACTTGTAAGTGATCCAGGTGACAATGCGTATAAAAGAGTAGAAAATTTTTTAATTGGTATTGACTTGCCAAGTCACGTAGTCCACCTTTCAGTTCTCTGTACATGTACTCATGTGGTATTTGTAGACATAGGTGTTATTTGATGCCATGAAGTCTGTGTGCTAAATTGAACCAAGCCCTGATCACTATGCTTGCATGGTTGATTTACTCAATCGAGCTATTTTGCTAAAAGAAGCGAATGAGTTGATCCATTGAATTCCTTTTGAGCCTCAAGCATCAGTTTGTGGGGATTCTTTGTGTTGCAAGTAAGACTAATTCTCATATGGAAATGGCAAGACTGACCACTGAGCACCTCTTTGAATCAGAACCTTATAGTGTGAGAGCTTATATAGTATTATTGAACATGTTTACCATTGCTGGTAGGCAGTAAGAAGATAGAGAACCATGTGTGATGAAGAGAGAGAGTGGAGCAAACCTCGGTTGCAGTTGGATCCTCGTAAAGAGTTGTGTTCGCACTTTCTAGATTGCATCCAATCGAGGAGATAGAGTATTCTGGGGAACAGTAGAGAATGTAAGAATTGGGTTTTTTGGAGGGCTAGAAGTGCTAGAGCGAAGTACCATGCTTCACCATAGAGGGAATCTGGCAATTGCTTTTGCCCTTTAATCAGAATGTTGCCTATAGAGACGATTAGAGTGATGGAGAAGTTTGAGGGTTTGCATGGAGTACCATGCTTCTGCCCGAATGATCTCTAAGGCTGTAGAGAGAGATACTTTGCTGAGGTATTAGCGCTGGTTCCCTCTATAGTTATTTGGGGTGGGAGCAAAAAACTCTAGCATCGAGAGCGGAAGAGTAGGCAAGGAAGTCGTGAAGTTCTGTGGCCAAGGGAACAAGTTCTATACGTGGGCAAATGTAGGGATCGTGATCCTTGACTTTTCGGGATCGATTTCCATATTTGCAAAGGAGTGAATACTTTACGAGATGCGATCGCGTTCCGCCATATTAGGATCGAGGTGAAGTTTGATTACCCATAGTGTTGTAATCTGGGAACAAGTTCCTTTTAACAATATTTTTAACTTTTTCCAAATTCACAAACCCAAGTATCATATAAACAAGAATCATATCATTGGAAATCTCTTGGACTTTTTGTTATCAATGGAGTAAAATTTCACAAATGAGTAGTTATACTAAAAAACCAATATGGTGATGTAATACATAAGAAATCCTTTGGCACGATTGGACTTTTGTGTCCTTAGTGATCTCTCTCTCTCTCTCTCTCTCCATCTGGAACAGATACATTCATTTATGGACTTTTATGGACTCTTATTCTATTCAAATTCCTTGGGAAACATTTTGGTCTATCTCCCTCTCAACATTGTCAAGAATAAACTCTATCAACTCCCCTATTGTAGGTGCCCTGAAACCGGTGCAGAAAAGGCAGGAATAGAGAGGAAGCATTTCTTAGAGGCAATCTTACAATTTCAGTGAAGGAACCCTTTTTCAATAGAACTGCACCACAACTATCTATTGTATCTTTTCCCTACTTCCTTTTCTCCCCTTTCCTTCTCTTGTGGCCTTTTTTTTGAAACTAGACACAAGGCACAATTCACAAGGTGCGTAAAGTTGTGAACTATAAAATATATAGGAAATCATGGCATTTTAAGAAAAGTTCATTGGTCATTAAAAATGGAGATCGACACTCCAATGTATATGAACCAAACATATGCCGTTGAAACTCGTACCCAAAGCATAGGATACTCGATTCCATGTTGGTAGAATCGCGGTTCCACTTACTCATGAAACAATGATTTTTGGAATAGGGATCTGGATCCCATTAACATAGGATTGAGCTATTTGATTTCCCGGATCAAGATCCTTAATATCAAGGGATCATCTGGAATCGAGATATTGTGAAAATATATTTTAAGGCTATCACAGTGATTTCCGATATTGAAACTACATTTCTCGACACTATTGGAAGGTAGGCTCTAATTTGATTGTTTAGAGCCTAGGCTCTATATAAACAACACCCTTTTAAGTGTTGGAGTAGATGGGATGTTGAACCGTGAATGTATGATTTGTAACCCAATGTTTTGATGCCTCTAATTACCTTTCTTAGTATCCATGCAAAGCATTTGAGGAATGGTTCTTCCTTATTTCTCAATCGCATGCTTCAGAATTTTTTTACAGGCTTACAGTCTCCTGTAACAAACCAAAATGGGTTTCATGCATTTTTTCAATGGAGAAGAAGATTGTATCGCGTCTTGAAGGGGTTTCTTGTATCAAAGAAATGGATCAGGTTCATGCTCTAATTACAAAGACCGGGCTCAAAGAACGCAGACTATGTCGCTTGTAGAATGGTAAGCTTTTGTGTTGTCTCTGTTTCAGGAAACCTAAACTATGCACTCCCGGTCTTTGAGGAGCTAGCAAAACCTGTGCCATTTGTATGTAATAACATGATCAGAGTTTACGTCAATAGCATCTTTCCAAACGAAGCCATTCTTCTCTATAACATAATGCGCTCTGAAAATGTTAAGGCCGACAGCTTTACTTTCCCTTTCGTGCTCAAGGCTTGTGCTAGGGTGTCGAGGGGCATCGAAGAAGGGCATAAGCTTGCTCATCTCCATAAAGGGGTAGAAGCTCACTGCACAATTATACAAACTGGTCTAGAATTGGATCCATTTGTTCAGAATTCCCTTATTTTCATGAATTCAAGATCCGGTAGCATCAAGGCTGCTCGATTGCTATTTAACAAAATGACTGAGAAAAACATAGTCTCTTGGAATACCATGGTCATGGCATACCATAGGCAAAAAAATATTGAATCAGCGAATGGGTTGCTCAAAGAGATGCCAATACGAAAACACCATGATCACAACACATGTCCACTCTGGCGATATCAAGAGTGCTCAAATGGTGTTTGAATAAATGCCTGAAAGAGATGCGGCTTCTTGGAATGCCATTATAGCTGGCTATGTCAAGAAGAAATTTTACAGTTGGGCCTTGGAAGTCTTTGATAAAATACAGGGTGCTAATGTGAGTCCAACTGAGATTACATTGATCACACTTGTTGGAGCTTGTGCTGAACTTGGAGCCATGGAGATGGGTCAAAAATTACACGAATACATTGAGAAAAATGTGGGTTTTGAGGCTGAGGGCATCAGGGGCAATGCTCTGATAGATATGTATGCAAAATGTGGGCAGCAAGTTTAGTGTTTGAGAGGATGAGAATGAAGCGTGTGACTTCATGGAATGCAATGATTGTGGGTATTGCAGTTCATGGGCATTGCAAAGAGGCAATCGAATTGTTTTCGAGGATGCAGTCGAGCGGAACCAAACCTGACAGTGTGACCTTCTTGGGTGTTTTAACGGCTCGCAGTTACAGTGGGCTTGTTGATGAGGGTTGCGAATATTTTCATAATATGATTGAGAAGTATAAGATAGAGCCTGGGATCAAGCACTATGGTTTCATGGGCCTCTTAGAAGAGGCCCCTGATGTTATTAATAGAATGCCATTCGATGCCAATACTATTAGATGGAGGACTTTGTTGGGTGCATCTAGGACTCGTGAGAATGTGGAATTGGCAGAGGTCCTTGTGGAAAATTTGGGTAGATTGGAGCCTCTAAAGCATGGGGATTATGTTCTATTGTCCAATATATATGTAGAGGCTTACAGGTGGGATGATGTTGAGAGGGTGAGACAAATGATGGTTGAGATGGGGGTTCTAAAGCCTCCTGGGTTCAGTCAGATTGAGATGAATGGCTGATTGAAAAGCCAAAAGCTAAGTAGAGGGAAGAACATCATACATATTGATGATATACAAGGGATTGCAAAAACTACATTCTTATTCAAGGGGTAAGTCCAGTTTAAAGCTTTCAATCCTCAACACTTGGGTAAGTAAATCCATCTCTCAGAACTCGGCTTCGAAATGGAGAAACCAAGAATCGGTCCATACTAAAATTCCAGGTTTGGAGAGAGAAAGGCTCTTCTCTCTCTTCAATGGGTGTCTCAGTGCAGATCAAATTAGACAAGTGTATTCTCAGTTGATCACGAGCATTTCGGAGTCGAGATTGGATGCATTAATTAGGAACTCTTTGCTCGGAGCCTATGCAAGGAGCAACACCCCACAAGCAGCTCCCATTATATACAAACAAATGCAGAATTTAAGTTGCCCCCATAGGGATAGCTTCACGTATTCATTTCTTCTAAAGGCATACACAAATCCCTCCCTAAGAGATAAAAGGGGGAAGATCCATTGCCACATTATTAAGACTGGGTTCCATTTCCAATTTATGTACATACTTCTCTCCTTGTTGTATATTCAACAAGTGGGTGCCTATCTGATGCTCGAAAAGTTTGCGATGAAATGCCAAAGAAGAATGTGGTCATATGCTATGCCATGATCACTGCTCATGGAAAGCATGATCGATGATGCCAGCAAGCTGTTCAATGAGATGAGGAAACAGAGTGTGGTTTCTTGGAGCGCGATGATCGATGGGTATATCACAAACAACAGAACGAGAGAGGCCTTCGCGCTTTTCCGCTTTATGCTAATGGAGGAGAATGAGAACAAACCCAACGAGATCACTATACTCAGTATTCTCCAAGCCTTGCACCATGATCTCGGTGCTCCCCATATTGGGGACTCCATCCATGCCTTTGCTCGAAAGAGGGGTTTTCATTCATTTGTGCCAGTGAATAACGCGCTCATTGACATGTATGCAAAATGGGGGAGTATAGCAAACATGAGAAAAGTGTTCGATGAAATCCAAGAAAAAAGCTTAGTTTCATGGACCTGCATGATATCGGCATATGCAATGCATGGCCATGCCAAAAAGGTAATTCAGCTTTTCAGAGAGATGGAGGGGATGAGAATGAGGCCAAATGGGATCGCATTTCTCGGGTTGCTGTATGCTTGTAGCCATGCAGGGCTCATAAAAGAAAGTCAGGAGTATTTCACGGCTATGGTGGAGGACTATGGGATCGTACCAGGTGTCAAGCACTATGGATGCATGATCGATATGTTAGGGAGAGTTGGTTTATTGGACGAAGCCGAGAAGATGTTAGAAAGAGAGAACTCATTATTAGATGGTATTGTGGTGGTTTGGAGGAGTTAACTTGGAGCTTGTTGTGTTCATGGTGCAGTCGGTTTGGCAGAACTTGTTATGGAGAGGGCGGTGGAGCTAGAGAGAGAGTTTGGAGGGGACTATGTGCTTCTCTCTATCATTTTTGCAGGGGCTGGAGATGGAGTGATGCTGAAAGAGTGAAGAGGTCTATGGAAGAGAGGAATCTCATGAAAACTCCTGGTTTGAGTAATATACTTTGATGGGCAACATAACTGATTGAGGTAATTTTTTCCAAGTAATTTACATTGTGGGAGAGATCATTGATTGAGGTAATTTTGCCTTGAGGTATTTTTATTAAAACATATGGCTTGTGTGCCGATTAAAATTCTTGCACATCAAATTTTAAAGGAACTGTTTGATATTGTGATAGAGTTTGGGTATCCTAGATGAATACCAGACTATTTTGATGCATAAGTTGCTATTTTGGATAGGCCCCTTGATGTGGTTTGTACTATAAATATCTCTCCCAACTAACTGGGTCGGCTATATGAATCTTGATCTATCATTCTATTCTATTAAAGTTCATACTTTCAGTAAAGCCGTAAATCATTTATCTTGCATTTTAAAACACTAGACATGAGACCATCATGGAAAGTGTGGTCCAAACTTATCCTTGTTTGCTACTCAATGTGGACGATATTGTCAACATTACATGTGAAAGCGCATGTCATGGACGGTGGGGATCAACCATCCACGTGTATTTTAATTATCCCATGCATTAGTTAGGCTATCCTAAATATCTGATTTTCCATTATTCATATTTTGGATAATTTCCAAGACATTGGATGAGATGTTTTTATATTTGGAGAAAGATTACGTGGTCCCCCTGGACACATAATTAGGTCTTTAATCTTAAAGACATGGCTAAGTGATTTTCTTTATTTGTAAACTTTCGGATCATATTTTTTTTTTTCCATTGTGAATAACTCAGAGACAAAAGATAAAATTTTTTAGCTATTAAAACCTTTTATCTATCTCCCCTCAAATACGTGGTTCCGAGCAGGGGAGAATTATTTTGTTGCAATTTTTAGTTCTTTTTTTTTTTTTGGGTAATTCAGTGAGAAAGACGGATCCCTACCCGTTTTTTCAAGTAGATTAGAAGTTAGCATTTTAAAAATATTAGTGGGGTGGTGTTAGTGGTGGGAATGGAAACCACTACGACTCAAGCTTGTTTCCCAAAAGGAAAAAGACAAAAGGGATATAGTTGAGAAGAGTGAAAAATGATATGAGAATTTATGACCTCATTAAAGATATAACCGTTGATAGAGAGAATAACGGAAGTACACCCATCCACCATACGTTAGAGCGCGGGTGGACGGGTAGCCGACACCAAATACTTAGAAAAAAAGTTGATGAAGATAATGATGATTAATTCATAAAAAATTATAAAATAAAAGCATATGAGCATTTACCACTGGAACAATGAGGTCACAATCACTTAAACGTTTAGATTTTAAATTTAAAGGCAGTGATTTCATGCAACGGTTGTATCATAATATAATGCAACGACACTTTTAGAAAATCATGTTTGTGATATTTGTATGACCCAAAATTTTACACACATACTCTCTACATCACAATAATCAATCCTCAAAAAAAAAATTCAATTTAAACCCTAGATATGGTCAAAATGAGTTCTCTCCAAAAACGAATCTCGACCATTCATTTGGTGAATTTTTAGATCTTAGCTTTTATAAACTCAAAATCATTTTTTAATTTTTTAACATTGTTCATCTAATGATAATAAAGCCATCCAAAAAAATTGAAAATGAAAAAAATCATTTTAAGGTCCAGATCTAAACATCTCATCAAATAAAACTGTCTATATTAATTGGGCTAAAAAATATTTTTTAAATTGTGTTTTTAATTTTTAATTTTTAATTTTTTTAATTTTTTTTGTGATTATTTATTGAAATGAAAAAAAATACATCTTTCAAATTTTACATAAAAAAAAGACCGATTTTTTTAAGATTTGTTGCATCACGTTACTAACATTAATATACTACCACCGTTGCATGAAATCATTGTCCTAAATTTAAAAAGTCTAGGACCTCACTCGTTTATAAACTTTATTCATAATTTATTGAAAAGACTTGTTTGTCCGAGTAGAGAGGCTAACTCCATACATTATCGACGGACGAGATCTATGACTGACACTTCCCAGGTCACTCTCAGCCGTCCATCGAATTTGGGTCACTAGATAAGGTTCGCTTTTCCCGTAGGCGAGGTTGGATGGTGACTGGATAAGGTTCGTTTTTGCCCTAAATGAGATGGCAATCATCGAGAGGGCATATCCACTGTATGAAATCTAAATCTGACGCTCTCAAATGAACCACGTTCGGCATATCTTCACCATACACGTTGCACCATAACGATCTCAGCGAACGGACCTTGGTAGGTGGCCGTGCTCTCAATCGGACGCTCTGGATAACAAAACAAAGGTTAGAGAGAGAAAACTCTTTCTCTCTCTACAAGAGAGAGAAAAAGCTCATTCTCTCTCTACAAGAGAGAGAAAGCTCTTTCTCTCTCTACAAGTGAGAGAGAAAGCCTTTTTTTCTCTCTCTCTCTCACACAAAGTCACTGGAGAGAGAAAAGGAGAAACCAGAGTTATCTCTCTCTCTCTCTAAAAAAATTCACATGAAAGAGGTACCGCACCCAACAAAGCTTCCACCTTTATTCTACTCCTTCCTTTCTCATTACTCAATCCAACGGGCTCCATTTCTCCCTCCTCAATTCCTTCTCTTGCATGACGCAGGACCCCTGTTCTTTTCTCGCTCTTCCTCCTCTGTTTCTCTCTCTTCTCTTCTCTTGTTGAACCTCCTCTTTCTGATCTTCTTTCTGCACGTGAAGAAGAGAGAGAGAAAAGCTTCAAAGATCGTTGATTTTGGTTCTGTTTTTCATCAGCCATGGTGGACGTTTTGAGAAACAGTATCTGTGTTCCTTGTTCTCATTTTGTGGGCCTAAGTTCGTCTTCTTCATCGGTGAATCAAGTCCCGAAGGCTTTCTTCAAAACCCAGTTTCATGGCCGGCCTCTGGTTCTTCGGCAACCCAATCCACCTTCTTTCCCCAATCCGAGCTCCCAAGGCCTATCCATCCAGGTCTGTCAATACCCTGTTCTTGTTTTCCCTTCCCTCTCTCTCTCTCTCTCTCNCTCTCTCTCTCTCGTCTCTCGTCTCTGTCTCTCTC